ATACAAACCAATGTGGTCTAACCCCATTTCTAGGGTTGAGTCTAGAATCATATCAGCAGTCTCAAGTGTGACATAAGAATCCTGAATGGTCTACGAGTTCATATTGGAAGATGCCCTACTCTCCATAGATATAATATTAAAGCCATTCAAATAGCCACTAATTCTGCTTATCCATGATCTTAATGGTCTCCCGTACATCACCCTACAGGATCATCCAAGTCATCAATTAGAAAGAAAATCACTATATTATGTGCTGAATAACTATTCTCTCATAGAATTAGCGCTCTGATTAGGGGTTGTTGCTCTTATGTGTTGGATCCATTTTGTGATTATGTTGTGCATGTCAATAAGTGCAAATAGTAAATTTGCCATTGCATACATATATACTTAGGTATCTCCATTAATGAGAACTGATTCTGTCATTCCCACAATAATAAGAAACAGATGCAGTTGTTAGCCAACTACATGAAAGATTCCCTAATACTTTCAGCAGGTTTGAGCCAGTAAAATAAAAAATAATAATTTATAACGTAAAATGAGATAGATATCATGGGAGAGAAGTGGCAGTTTTTTTTAAAAAAAAGGCTTTTAACACTTTACTATGTAAACTACGTGTAGTTTGGAAAATATGTACAATACAACATAAAAAAATAACATTCAACTGCACTTCTTAATCACATGAATCAAGCAAAAAGCTGTCGAATAACACACTCAGTTATTATTTTCCAAAACCAAATGATGCATCATATTCCCATAAGTGACAACTCAAGTTTTACCAGCATTTTCGCTCAGACTTCCAAAGCAACCTAGTTTGAAATACTCCGAACTCCAAAAATGAGTACATGCATCACATGAAGAAAACAATCCATAGTTGTTGGAAGCAGAAGCAACAGCTGGAGATTTCCCCAGGCCTAAAGGTCCTTACATCGAGAACACTTGGGTGTGCTTGTCTATGAGCACCCATATAATATAAGTATTATAAATTATAGATATATATAATATGTATATTGGAAACTTGGGCAAAATTGAAAAAATATAAGGTATGGAGGAAATTTTTTTTCCAAAAGTCCTGCTCCCAAACCACTACTGCCTTGAAAGCTTCTTCTAACCATGAACTAATCTGTGTAGACTAGATTTCAAGGACCACTAGTGCATGAAGATTTAACAATAATGAAAGTTGTGGCTATGTGGAACTCAAGGTAATAAATTCAAAAAAAAAAATCTTTTTTCTTGTATTAATATACCTGAATTCCACAAAACAGTATTGCAAATAAAAATATAGCCCTAAATACAACCTAGACCTTTCCTTTTACTGCCAAAGCAAACAGACACAACCTAGGAACAATTTCAATTTTCCACTATGAATTTAAGTACAATATATGTTCCTGGAAATTCACAGAAAATATAGAAATATGGCTGAAAATTAATAAAAACAGCCAGGAAGACTTACTTGATCGTGCCTAGGTTATCCCCACAAGACATGATACACCCAACACCCAATTCCCTAATCAATGGCACACTTTTGTCCTTTCGGTCTTGTTCGAATTTCAGAGATGGGAATGCTTTCTAGGCAATACCTTTTAATCAAGGGTTTTAAGAAGCATAGAAACCTATCTAGGGTTTGTAGTAACCCTAAAGGATCAAATTAGGGCTAGGCTTGAAGGTTTATTTCTCTCTTTGCTGGTTGTACCACTTTTATTCCACAAAATACAACAAAAGCCCTAATCTAGGGTTTCATGCACCACCTCTTCTTTTTCTCCTATGGCTGACATCATAAAATGAGAGGCAAGAAGAGTGGGTGGCATGCCAATAAGAGAGAGAGAACTAGGCATGGAGGAGAGAGAGATTTTTGTCATTACTCGTGGGAGAGGTTCAGGTTCAATAGGGTTTATATAAAAAGAACTCCTTCTCCCGTATGGATTATCCTAGGTATGCCTTATCCAATGATACAACTTGACCAATAGGAACTTAGGAAATCTGTGGGGTGAGAGAGATTAAATCTGAGTCATCCATCCCACAAATCAGTCATCAAGATTATGGGGAACTTCTAATAAAAATAGGATTATAACCACTTTTAGTATTATCTAGATATTCCTAATATCTTTACAAAATCTGCAGGAAATCAAAGATAATCTTTTTATTTGGTCAAAGCAAACTCGCACTTGAATAGGTAACAAATCTATTTAATTTTAAAAAACTCCCTAAGTAACAAACTAAATTAAAAGTGGCACATAAAACAAAATCAGTGGAGCATGCCAACCTATGGACTTTATGTGGGCCCCACAAGGCCACACATCCCACTCATGGGTGGCACACATATGAGGGCTTGGATCCTATGGCCCCACATATACCTTTCCTTGCTCTAAAAATTTTGAGCCTACCCTTTTTAATGAATTTACAGCAGAAATAAATTTTAAAAATTCTAAAAAAAATTCTAAAATTTGTAAAAATATTTTTAATACCAAAAATAAAATATTTAGAAGTGGACTAGTACCACTAGATCAAAATTAGCGACAATAAGAGCACTCTACTTGACTCAATAACTATGATCCACTATTGTCTTCTCAACCAACTCAAGACAAACCCATGACCTACAATCTCATACAATGCCTCATGATTGGCTCGTTAAAATTGGCCAATGACAATGGAATCATGATCTTGGAATACAGATTTCAGTTCGCCCTCTAAGAGCAAGTCTAACACTTGTCAATACAGTGCAAAGAAGGCTATCTTTGTGGACATGTACATGTGTCCCTCTTTAAGGATGCTTCCTAGTAATGCGGTTGTCATATGTACATATCGTGCGGACGTTTGTTGAGGCTTTGACCCGCGCTCTCATAAGCCTCTAACGACACACATGAGAGTACACAATTCTCCTAGTCTACAAATATCATCCCTAGGCATTTCTCCGACCTCAACAAAGGAAGATGTTTGTAAGCCCTTCTCAGTAGTGTTACATGCGCAGGGTTAAGGGTTTTGGACTTAACCATGGCCATGAACCGCTCAACCCTGAGTCAGTCTACACATACACATTCCCATTGACATGCATATTTCACTATAGATATCATTTTTAATATGCTATCTAGGCCTTTAAAGGCCACAAACAAAAAAATCACTGCCTAGATGCAAGACATCAAGGAAGAAGATAAGACAAGACCCCCATGATTGTCAGGAAATAAGAAGACAACAAAACCATTTAGGATATGTGTGCCATAAAAATGTAGCTATTTCATCAACACGGTTTATTTAGCAATAAATGATAAGACATAAGGCCTCATATAAATTAGAAATTCTCAAGTAGAGCATTTAGCTGGCATAGATCACATGCATGGTCGTCATCAAAGGCAAATGCAAGACATCAAAGAAGAAGATAATACAAAACCCCCATGATTGCCAGTAAATAGGAAGACAACAAAACCATTTAGGATATGTGTGGCATAAAAATATAACTATTTCATCAACACCATTTATTTAGCAAGAAATAACAAAACCTAAGCCTCCTATAAATTAAAACTTCTCAAGTGGAGCATTTAGCTGGCATAGATCACATGCATGGTCTTCATCAACACCACAATGATGCACTTGAGTTACAGACAATGTTGCTTATATCAATTCACAACGAATGAAAGTACGCAAATTCCGAGTAAAGAGATGCCTACCTAGAGCATGCTGTTACAGACTCAAAGATATCTAGACAAAAGAATTTGAATAAATTAAAATATATATTGCTAGAAAACCACAATTTCATCATAAAAAAGGATTCTACAAATGAATGTGACCACAAAGGGATAAAACAAACTATGAGCAGGAATTATTCACATAAAAAGCGATAACACCAAAACCCAAAAAAACATTAACATACACATTATGGATGCAAGATTTTTAAAATATAAGTAGAAAACATGTACCCAAAAATAACTTCTAGGTCAAAGCAGAGTCCAAAACTCAAGCAAACAGTATGTAACTAATGAAAAAAAAACATGAATAACATAAAACAAACTAACTTATTTTTGTATTTGGTTACTTCATGTTCATGGTCAATAAAAACAAAGCTGCAAAAGAAAGGAAATGTGCAAACCCTTGCTGCAACTTTTCCTGAAGCATCTCAAATGCAGGCCTTGTGCCATGACGGGAAAGTAACTTGAGGATATGGTATATCGTAATGAGGACACCAAAATAGCCTTCTACTTCACCAAATTGTGCATGAGCAAGACTCGTGGGTGGTGCTTGACGAAATTTGTCCCTAGAGTTCAGCAGTTCATATGGGCTAAACTGGTACAATTAATATTCAAATTCAAAAATAGGATAGAAACCAGAGTAAATGCTAGTATCACAAGAGAATAACTTGATAATGAATTATAAGATGCAAGAAATTCATTATTAACTCAAATCTTAAAACCAAAACAAAGAGCTCAAGCTAAATCAAGATATTAAAATATTAGTGTTCTAAAATAATCCACATGCATACTACCCAGGTGCAATCATCATGCATATCCCCTTCCATTGTGCAGTTCATGTGTGTGTGTGTGCATGCGATTGCATGCAGGAGAAGTTTTCTATAGACCCTTGAGTCAATACTGTAAATGTTGACCCATTGGCCAACCACCATGTTAGGAACATTTGTTTGATCTTGAAACACAAAAATCATATTCACTCATCTTTAAGATCAGTCGAAAGAAAAAATAAAGATAAAAAGATTTGGAGACCAATAAATGCTCCAAACCAATTCCTTCTCTAATGACACTGGACCATTCATTTGTCGGATGACAAGATCAAGAGTTTTAAGAACTGAAAATCATTGTCCTATTTTATTTTTTTATTTGGAATTAATCGAACACTAGAACATACGAAAAATTTCAGGCCCTAAAAACGCCCTGACCTGGTGTCTGGCCCATGGATGTACAGCATTGACCCATGGGTCTATAAAAATTTAACTATATATGTGTGTGTGTTTGTGTCTCTCTCTCTGTTTGTATGTGCTCATGTATGTATGTGTATCATGTATGCATGCGTATCATGTATGCATGCACGTATATGTAGATTTTGTGCCTGCATTTGTATTTATATTGTTTACAGAGATATGTGCAGGGGAACAGTCTTAGACAGATGCAAGATTTGGAAAGAGTAATAAATACGTTGTTGTGGATATTTTTCAGATGGATAAGAAATGCAAATAAATCCAAAAAGTTTACAGATAAATGCAGTGGCTTAAGCCCAATAAGCAGATAGTTCATAACAACCACACATGACCGAACCAGCAGAAAGACCACCAATTGGCTATCCAATTGATGACCTGCACTGATGAATTACCTAATGCACATATATGATATTTTAACAGTCGAGAATATCCCCAACATTGTCAGCCAATATCTAAGGACATCCATCCTTTTAGCAGACAGATTTACTACATTACAGGTTCCCTTTTCCCTACTTTGGACGTTCCCACATATACAAGCATTCGTTTGAAGCAGAGTCACTGCCGATCCCATATTCCATAGTTGAACACAGCTGATGATTATGTCCTAGAACCATTTAGAATTGAAACAAACCATCATATTTGACGAATTCAAGAGATCAAAAAATTCAGCCATGTTTTTCCCTGATTTCAAAAAATTATGATTTCATTGCAATTGATCGTTGATATTCAACGAAATCTGATCCTTCTGACTATTATTGTGTTTTTCATCCAATCATAGGCTTTATTTTAGCAAAACAACACAAAAAAATTAGGATTTATGAAATTTCATATCCGGATTTACTCATCGTTTGAATTTTTAAAGAGCTCGAATGTCCTGGAATTGAACTCCAAATCAAAATTGAGTTTGGGGGTTTCAATTGGGATTGTGTGAGGAAGCATGGCAATGATTTAAGGCTGCTATTTGCACTGAGTGCGAAAATAGACGGATCAGCACCAAAATTCATAAAAACTGATTTATTTTTTATAAAGAATTACAATTAATTTGTAATCTATTTTATACATACTTCATTTTATTGAGCTGAGCACAAGTCATCTTCACTTTACTCATCACAAGCACACATAAGAATGCAAAAGAAAACCTTTCATCAAGTTGTACCAGAACCGACTCATGTACAGCCAAACTCTGCAACTTAATGAGCGAGCGACTCTTTTTCATCCTGGAAAAGCTACAGAAAGACCTTAGTACAGGACTTCATGTTCCGCCGCACCAATATTGGTAAGAGAAACATGCTAAAGATCATTTGTAAACTAGAATAGGCAAAAGTTATGCAAGCCAATTACACACGGCAAACTTCAGGTCCAACATTTTAGGCTTTAAAGGCATTCCGATTGCTCAAGAAAATCGACCAAGTTGGTTTCCAGTTCATAGGGCCTACGGCCATCTACGAGATGGGGTCATAGTAGTAATTTCAATGTCAAAGCCAAAAGTTATGCCTATTAATTATACCTACACGAAGTTGGAGTGTTATTCCAAGGTTTTTCGTAGGACAGGTTTGCCTTATATTATTTCTCCAAGGAGTTTGGGTCTAATTTTAATTAGGAGTTCTAATTACATCATAAATAGGACTAGGAGTTCTAAATAAAGTCTATAAATGAGTTAAAAAAAGCTCTTATTCAAAGTTAATTATTTTTTTCAAGAACATGCCTTCTTTGGAATTCTATTGAATTAGCAAAATCATTTAAGTCAGTCTTGATATATCTTGGATCGATAATCCAGGAGAATAGAGAGATTGAAGAAGATGTCACACATAGAATTAGAGCTAGGTAAGCAAAGTGGAAATGTACATCCGGAGTTTTATGTGATCACCGCATACCAATGAAACCAAAAGGGAAGTTTTATAGGAAGGCTGTAAGACCAGCCATACTTTATGGGACAGAATGTTGGGCGGTCAAGAAACAACATATTCATAGGATGTGTAGCTGAGATGAGGAATTTGAGATGGATGAGTGGCAAGACAAGAAAGGATCGAATTCAGAATGAACATATAGGAGGGAACTTAGGAGTGGTTCCAATAGGTGATAAGATGAGGGAAAGTAGACTTAGGTTTGCTGGCCATATGCAGTATAGACCTAATATGGCACCGGTTAGAAGGGACTATATGGTCCAAGTGGAAGGCTCTAAAAGGGCGAGGGAAAGGCACAATAGGATATGATTAGAGGAAGTGAGAAGAGATATGGTAACCTATGGTCTAACCAAGGGTATAGCCTTTGATAGAGCATAATAGCGACACAAGATTTAAGTGGGCTGGCCCTATGCAGTGTAGACCTAATACGGCATTAGTTAGAAGGGACTATGTGGTCCAAGTAGAAGGCTTTAAAAGGGCAAGAGAAAGGCCAAAAAGAATATGGTTAGAGGAAGTGAGAAGAGATATGGTGACTTATGATCAGACCAAAGGTATGGCCTTTGATAGAGCAGAATAGCAGTACAGGATTTGTGTAGCCAACCCCAAATAGTTGAGATAAGGCTCGGATGATGATGATGGTTGAAGCAATCCCTAATAACTTCTTTTTTTATATTCAATCAAATTATCGGATTTTTTTTTAAGACTTTTGTTTATTCAAAATTTGCATCAAAATGTCAGCTTCTCATAAACCCTTTCTTCATCCCAAGAGAGTAACCTCTCCAATCTCCATTATAATTTTTCCAATTGCAAGAGAGCAAGAAGACGAGAACAGGATTAAAGTTGATAAAACAAGGTAGGCCCAGGCGAGAATAAAGTTTTCTTTTTCTGATTCATCCCTCTCAAAAATCAGCAAGACACTTCATAGTTTCCCAGTGTAACACCACTTTCTGGAACAATTGTATTACACCTACAACCAGAATAGTTTGAGGTCCGAATCTCATTCATCTAGGTTAGTGGATACCAGTATTAAAATCTGCAAGAACAGCTGTTCAACGGATAACCCTTTTACAATTGAATGACCAAAAATAATAACAGCATCATAATAGTAGGCATTGATGTTAACCTCTATATTTTTGGTATTTTTTATCCAAGCAATTTACATGCTTTTGATATTGGTTACAAGCTGCAAAAAATGTTCCATTTCTGAGGATCCTAATTTATATAATTACAATAAAAAGTTTCTATTTTTACAATAAACTACAAATCATAATTATTGGATAAAACTGCCATAGTAGCGATGCCACGAAGTAAAGCAAGAATGAAAGTACATCACTTCTCTTCAGTCTCAAATTTCACTAGAAGTTTGATCAGCCTCTGCTAAAAGAAAGCACAAACAATTCTTTTCAAAATCAAATTTCCGCAAAAGTTTGAATAAGAAAGTCAAGTGATGCATGTCTTCGTGAATTTGCATCATAACAAAGAACCAACCCAGAAAAACAAAAACTCCAAAATATCTTCTTCCAATTGAAAAAAGATAAAGACATCAGGCCAAAAAATAATTCCAAATTATAGAAATCATACCATTGCAGGATCTTTAAGATAAAGCACACCAAGAGTACAAAGCCTAGTCAGAAATGGCTTCACTGCCTCTAAAAGAAGTTCATGAATTCGCACAGCATCATTTCCCATTGCAACCTGGTTGTAGTGCAGAAAGGAAACATAAGAAACAACTACCAGTAATGGATAAATTTCACAGTGAAGTCAAAAGGCTTTGCAAAAACACATCACATACCTTGACTAACTCAACTTTTCTGCTCTGTATATAAAGGCTCACGTCTGCGTCACTTTCATTGCGATATTCAAGAATTGAAATATGCAAATTGTCAATGACGTTCTGAATAGTTTTTTGATTTGCTGAACAGCCAATATTCAACAAAAAAATGTCAATTAAAGTAAAACTAAATTTACAAGCGATGTGGATAGTGATGCCACTTACATCCTGGTGTCGCAGTTAAAGCTAATATCCGAAACTGAACAGGCACAGCCATTAGCTGCAAAGGGGAAGACCTCCAATTAAGAGAATAGAGAGAAATAAAGAAACATTGCACAGGTGTATCTGTGAAATAGACAATGATATGCCTCACTATTACAGCAAAAGAAACTCACCTCACGAATGGCAACACAATATGAGTAGTTACCCATTGCTCTGTGCGCCTCATCAATTACCAAACAAACTAATTCCTTCACTAAGCATATCCCTGAAGTGAAACAACCAATTTATTAAACCAATTAATGGAATAATTGAAACATGAGTGCAATGCCAATGCCTTCAAGATTATCATATAAAGTATTGTTGGGCACACTTCAATTCTTAGAACTCTGTAAGCCATAATCCTAGCAGATCAGGTTCAAGAATACAACTGCATAAAAATAAAAAATATGGGAAAAGACGAAGAAGCATGTTAGTCTTCATACAACCTCTAGTTTATTTTTGCTTAAATGAAAATTTGACGTGTTTCCATCTTATAGCAACAACCAAGGGTTTTCAAAGCACACTGCAGAAACTCTTATAATGAATAAGCTAAAGAGCATCCCTGAATATTAAAAGTACACCAAATTTTACAATGGGTACACAATTAGTGCAACCAAGCGAGAAGAATTAAAATTGTTTCTAGATCAGATATTCTGGACAAGTCCAAACTCTTGGACTTCTTCATGCATCATCGTCATTATCATCATCATCATCATCATCATCACCATCATCATCATCATCATCATCATAGTTGTTTCCCAACTATTTGGGGTCGGCTACACGAATCCTAGTACGTCATTCTGCTCTATTAAGGGCCATTTCAAGATTCATGGAAAGTTTTGGCAAAGTTTTACGTTGGTTGTCTACTTACGATAACCCACCTCCTTTATCCAGGCTTGGGACGGGTTAAGGAAAAGTTTAAGGTCATCACCCTTTTTAGACCTGACTTCTTGATGCATCAGAATGTTGATTTACCGTTACTAAACGCAAGGATCTCTCAGTAGAACACAAAACCTTGCATCAGAATGTTGATCCTCACCCTTCTTAGGATCTCTCAATACAATTATATGTTTTAAAGCTCGCACTCACTCTAGGACTCAACCACTGCCCATGACGAGTCAACTTTGCAAGTCTCAAGTTCAATTGTGTGGTCTTGCCCAAGTCCAAGAAAAAAAAAAAAGTAAAAAATCCCAAAAAAAAGGAAAGTAGGAAAACTCAAAAAAAAGAAAAGAAAAGGAAAGCATAAAAATTCTGGAAAATTACATACAAACTGAAAAAATAAGGAAAAGTTAATTTTCAAGTGTAGATAGGGTTGCTTCGATTTGTTTGGCGTACACTTAAACTTAAATTTCGTAATGACAATTTTAGCCCTGTGAACAGTACCCGTGAACAGTATTCATGAATAGTACTAGTGCATAATATGCATAAAATAAAATAAAAAACCATAAAAACCCTAGAATTCCTAAAAAATTAAAAATCCTAAAAATAAATCCTAAAACTAAAATCAAAGTATACATCCTTTAAAATTGAATAGAAATTAAAAATCAGTACAATTTTGTCCTCCATCAAAGCACCAACTTCATGTTAAAGATTAAGTACCACATCCAACAACCTAATACACAACATATAGTAGTAGAGCCACAAAGAGTCAAAGACAAAGTTAAACTGTCGAAGAAAAATACATAACCAAGAGTCTAGACTCTAGACTCTAGAGAGTAGAGACATAGTGGGACAAAATAAATAGAGGAAGTCCAATCCAAAACAGTCTACAGCCGATATGAATGTTGTGGAGAGTCATAATCACCCTGGCTGTCTTACTAGGTGTCCCCAAACATGTGTGGGTTAGCTAGCCCCTAAACCAAATTCTTCAAGGCTTGTCCAACTCTCGTCCTCAACACCGCCACATCCCTCTCACTGGCACCCTTGCTGCTCGTTACCTCGGCCCTTAGAGCTGTCATCACCATCTTCTGTAATTTCATCAGAGGCCTCATCATCTCAAACTCGTTGTCCTTCTTGTGGAGACTCCTCTATGCCTCTTCTTACACTTCTTCTGAACCAGCAGCTCCTTTCAAGACCCTCTTGTTAATGAATGGTTCTTCATGCTCCACCAGTCATTCCTCTGCAGAACCTACAAATACATAATCGAGATTTAGAAGGTTCTAATCCTGCACTTCCCTCCTCAACTGCCTCGTCCTCATCTTCAATTGTAGTGAACAAATACAATTTGTTAAGCCTCTCATTTCTCAAGTTGTTCCTCCTTGGTGTGTGAATCCATTAGAATGTACTGCAGTTTCTATTACACCATATGGAGAAACATGTTTGGCTCAAGATTATAATTGTGAAAAGCGGGGGCCTGTCGCCTACATGCATCTCCCACTATTTTGCAAACAAGGGAGAAAGATAACACAAAAAATTGGATGATCACAAAGCAATAGAATAGTATAAAACTACACTGCTTCGAGTCTATGACTATATGAGTATGAGAATGCTAAAGCAAACCTTGCTCTGGCTGTGTACAACTTATTGTGAGGTTTGTCCCAAGATCTACTTGTGCATAAATGTATAGAGTAAGCTAAAAGGACAATATCACAAACCAAAGAAGGTGACAAAATGAAAGTTTACTTCTTTTAAAGCTTCAATTTTTGCCGCCTAATCTCTCCCCAATCTTCCAATAAATACTTCACCCCTTCCATAATCATCGGGTCTTGGATTTGACCCGGTCGATAGTGGTATGTCATGTTAGAGAAGAGTCCTAAATACATAGTAAAACAAAGAAACCCCCTCAGGGCACACAAATCACAAAATCACATATTAAGATACAATTATCAATTGAAACTTGAAAGTTATTTGTTGCGTGGAATGGGCAATGCAGTGTATTTGCCCCCTTGTCATCAATGATGTCCCAAACTTTCTTATAATACTTGCAATTTGTTATGTGGCCTACTTTGCATGTTGCATTGCTTTAGGAACCCCATGGCAGCTTCACATCAAAATCAACCATCTTCGGGACTATAAAAAATGGAGTTGTGGCAGCAAAACTTTGCAAAAAATTATCCTAAAACCTGGAGCTAAAGACAATTCCTTCAACTAGTCTTGCAACTGGAATCCTTAAGATGGGTGCAGTAATTTATTCCTTGTGTATCCATCTTCCTCAACTCCAATTGCGAGTTGATATTCACTCTCTAATCAAATATGAGGTCGCAAATCTAGTAATTGTTGGCCTTATGAGCTCTCTGTGCATGTATTACCTCATCAAGGACCCATGAGTGATTGTATATAAATTTTATATAAAGTTTGTCATTGTCTTCCCTTTCTCAATATAGTTCTACAATTGCTTCAATTCACTTATAGCTTCCAACATGAGGCCTATACAATGAGCTGAACACTGACTCCAAACCAAAAACTTCCTCCTCATAAGCCTCTTGCTTGCATTCACATAGTTGATTGCATTACTTGTAATCACTTGAACTTTGTTATCCTCCCCAATAGCTTCCACCACATTATCAAGCAACTTAATAAAAGCGTCCCACTCTTGAATTTGTCAGAGGCATCTACACTAGTGTGGAAGACAAAACCCACTGGACAATGTACTAAACATTTGAGAAAGGTCCCTTCTATTTTTCAATCCTTCCAGCCATTTGACATGATTGCTACCCATGTCTTCGTGGTCTCTTACTCATCTACAAATAAATTAACCTTGGCCAACTCCTCATCCAAGCAAGGCTTTGCAATTCTTGGGCGGTCAGTGCCTTGAATACAAACCCTTGGATCTATTGGTTTATAATATTCAGTATTTATTGCATTGAATGGGATTAGAGTGTCAAACTACCACTTGTTATTAATGTTGAAATACATTTCTTAATTGCCTTCCCCACATAGACTTAGGTCTTCTGCTCTGATTCAGGACTAGATAGGGAGGGCCTGATCCACAGTAGGCTCAGTAGGCAAGGAGGTTGTGAAGGCTGAAAACTAAGAGCTACTAGGAGGTCTTTGCCTTTCAATCAATCTGGAAGACCTTAGTAATCTCAGTGTGTTTCCTCGAATGCCAAGCTGGAAGACCTTAGTAATCTCAGTGTGTATCCTCGAATCCCAAGTACTAACATGACTCTCTGTTTGGGAGGTCCTGGACAATTGGTTCTAGCTCTCAAGGACCCCACACCACTATGCCTCCCCACGCTGGCCTGTTGTCTATAGTACATATCTTCTAGAGTGGCCCTCCTTGCATGTGGACCTCAAAATCTTCTTCCTCTTCCTCATGAGAAGATGCACGGTATTGTCTCCCTGTCTCCTCAACCAACTTTGGTTTATGTGCCTTCTTTATTTTTGCTGCATAGAAAGATTGCAATATTTGTTGCTTAACATGCACAAAAACACCATGACAAGGCACAACACTACCCCAGACTTTCACTAAGTGATGTTTTAGGCGACCAACACCTCCAGCCATTTCCTTACCATGCATCTCATTTTATCCTTCTCATTAGGATCCATCTTCACCCCAAACTACTATGCCACGTCCTCAATGCCACTATTCATCTCTCCAAGTGATGCAAGCATGAAGTACAAGGTCCAATGAAAAATATAAAACATCGTCCAAAACTCCAAATCTAACATCAATAAAAATATTTTAATTTTAAAAAAATGTTTGTTCACTTATATTTTCATTTCTCAAGCAAAATGTTAATATGGGAACAAAGTAAGCATGCTATAGGCATAGAAACACAACCAAAAAAACACAAAATCCGATCAAGGTCATTAAGTTACAAAGAAAATTCAACAAATACCCATGCATGCATGTCAATTTTATATACATGAAAATATAAAAAGAGGCAATTTTATTGAGTATTTTGAGAGGAAACACTATTCTCGAAACAATCAAAGCAAGCAAGAGGCACAAAAAAACCATTAAAAAGGATCTCATTAATATAATTAAATTAAAAAAATAATTCCCACATACTTTAAAAAAAACATTGTATGCATCAAATATAAAAAAAATTGATTTACGACACTTTTTTAAGAAGAAAGACCAGTTTTGAAACATTCTGAGCATGTTGGAGACATTAAAAACCATCCAAAACATCTAATTGGCAACATAAAATTAAAGAAAAATCCCAACAAATGATTACCATATGTATACATGTAAAAAAACATTATTTTTGTATGCATGACAACGCTGGTACCAATTGTTTTTGAGAGAATACAACAAAAGTATAAGACAAATGAAAATATAACTGGATCTAGTGAAATTTACACAAAAATTAGGTTACGTGAATTTCTATTGAAAAAACAAAACCCAATTTCTTCTACTCAAAGTTTTGAATCCGAGCCTCCTAAAGATAATCCAGTGTAAATCAAGGCCTCCAATCTTTGAAACTAGAACCCCAAATATCCCCAATTGAAATTTTTGACCAAACCATATCTTGATATTCCAAATCTCGCAAATCCGAGACATCGAGTAATCTTTTTTTTTTTTTCTTTCGGTAATCTTAGATATGAATTTGATGGAGGACACAAAAATAGGTCTAGGGGCAAATTATTAGGGTAGGAGCTAGGGTTGCAAAAAACAAGAAAGAAAGGGATTTTTTACCCCCTTTTATGAAAGGAAAAAGTGAATGCAAGTCCAATGGAACTTTATGGACTTACCAAAGTCAAACAAAAAACCGTCACTTTCACTGTTAAAGTTTAGTGACAAGTAAACCCACTAGTGAGTCGGGGATCCTATGCAACTGGCAAGCTGCCAGTTTCAATTGACTCACCTAAGTCCATGTTGAACCTTGGCAAGTTTTAAAATACTGGGGTTCAATTGACTCACTTGAGTACACATAAGCCCCAGGTCACTTATCACGTTACATTTGCCAGCATATATCATAAGGTTTCCCATTACTTTTATTTTCTTTTATGAATGGAGATAATTCCATTTCCACCACAACCAATAGAAGTTAAAATGACAGAAGAGTATTATGCTGCCATTGTATTTCAACCTATAAGATGAAATGTAGGTTTTGTTATAACAATTAAAAATTAAGTTCTCCATTGACAAATTATTACAAAAGAATGAAATTAGGCAGAGAGAATAAGTTGTCATATTCGCTAAATATCCAGATGTGCAGAAAGTAGAGAACGAGGTCAAGAAAATGGGATAAGGGATGCATGAGTCACATCAGAGTCGAATCCACCAGAAAATTATGCAGTTGTTTATCAACATATTTCTTTCATTAACTAGCCTACAAAGTTTAGCCTAATGTAGACTGTAGAGTTTTGGGGCTTTTAGTCTCACAGCCCAGCTTGAAGGCCCATGCTTGCCAAAATAAAAAAGGTCCTGGCTACAAGAAGCCCAATGCAAAAAGTATTTATACATTCACTAAAAATCTACAATTTTCAAGTTGCACAAGCACATGCGTTATAAACTGCAAATTGTACTAAATACTTCTGTAGCAACATAATTCACCATGAAGAACACAATGTAAATACAGGTGGCTTTAGTCAACAGCAATAAACAGAGCTTAAGCTTCTCCGTTATTGGTATCAATAACATCACTAGACAAAGTGTGAGTCCAATAGAACACCAAGCATCAAAATGACAAACCTCTTTACTTTCCAGGTGTCCCTAGGAATATCCACAAATGGAAAAAAAAAATTGTAGCACTGATCACATGAATAATAAGAAGCATAATCAAGATAATCACCAGACTGTATATCCCTCTCAAGCACTTGAGGAGTCACATAGAAGACTCTCTTTGACTTCCAAAAACTTGATCTAGCTGAAGGGCTCATCTGACCAGTCATATCAATCGTCCACTCCTGCACTCAGTAACAATTCGTTCCTTTCAGAAAATGCAAAATCTAAGCTAAAATTCCAATGGGTTTTTAGCAATAAACACAAATTCACCAATAGCCATAACTAAGGAGCAATATAACATACTTGTGGTATACCCATGATATTATGGCATGCTTCAATCTGTTGAAGGACCAGAGGGCGTGTTGGAGCAGTGAATATGATTTTCCCTGGCATAAATATGTTATAAAAGCAACAACCTGAAGCTAGTTTAAAGAGAAACACTTCTGCTCCTAAGGACGTGCAAAGAGATGGATAGTTAGGACTCTGAATGATAGAAAAGATGAATTTTGAAAATACTCAAGCCAGATAAAGCAGAGGAAGTGTACCTCTGAGGATCCAGGAGCATGCAGAACCATGAGAAAGATCAGAAAAATTTCTATGCTACATAGGGATCTATTTCAAGCCGACATACTCTGACATAGACTATTCAAAAGTACATGGAAGGAATAAGGAAGATATTCAGACAAATAATAGTGTAAAGAGCATTCTGCTAACTTCTGCATCCATAGAATGAGAGTAAATTCACTCAATTTAATGTAATCCAAAAAGGATTAGAAGCAGGTGTACAGGCAGAAAGACATTTATGCCTCTGCACGTGTCCTTATCAATGAAAATTAAAATATATCTTAAGACAATAAATACAGTTATGTACTCATATGAAACAATTGGGAAGACATTTGAAATTCATTCAGAAGTGGCTCATAGATATGTTAGAAGCTTGAGGCTACTTCAAAAGCTGGATTGCAAGAAGACTGCAAGAGGCCGGTCTCTTGAAAAGCTACTCCAATAAAGTCATTCAACCATACAAGAAACACCACTCTAGCAACAGAAAAATATTTGAAGAAAACACCAGACCATAGTAAAGGGAACTTCGTGGGTAGGGTGATGATCCTGCTCCAGAACCTCGATCTCAATGTTACTGCAAGGGATCTTGTAGGGACCCCAGTTTTTCGATTTTTGGATCTCGCTCCCGAAAAAAGGGGACCACGTTCCATCATAAGTGAAATCCAGTTCCATTTCCAAACAGATCCCCGCTCCCATCAACCATAGTCCAAGGTTTTGGTGCATTAAAATCTTGGGTTCCATATTTATGGGATCTACTTTCATTAATAGATGATACCAGGTTAGAGATCGTCATTGTCCCAAGTTCCCATTCTTTAGGAATCATAAGTCCCATGATGGTAAAATCCAATCCCTTTTTTGCATAGCACGAAGTTCCATTATTTTAGATTCTTAATTTGAACTAGGTATAGTCTAGAGTGACCCATTGTTTTATTACGTCCTATTGTGCAAGCCATCCCTCTTAGTTGTGAGAATATATATTTCATTTAAAATCTTATATTTATAATGTCCTATAATTTTAGATTTTTAAGTCACACGATGAATCCTCTTAGTTGTGAGATGAGAATATACGTTTTTATTTCAAGCTTTAAAAAGCTTCTTTTACATCTGTGAGAGAGAGAGAGAGAGAGAGAGAAAGAAAGAGTAGTTCATCTTGTCCTCTTGCTCCTTCGAAGAGCCAGCATTTGAGAAACAATAGAAGCAATGGAGACTACATTCGAAGAAGATGACCCTTGAGTGGTAGGATTCTAGGTTAATGGGGACTCCAAGAGAATGGTGCACGCCAAATTTGTGTCATGGCCTAAAGATGTTGTGGGAGGGACAAGCCTTGGTAATGGAGCACTCTGAGGTGGTCATCATTAGGATGAAAATCCCATCCTTTGTACTTCTCTGCATGGTCTGATCGCAGTCTACTCAACAACCTGTCAATGTAGTGAACATAAACCAATGACTCGAAGCGTTGAGCATTTAACTTGTTACGCTTAACACTGTGAATATAACTATGTACTCCAGCACTTCTCAGCACATAAAGAGTTGACACTCTGAGACAACACTTTAATAGCTAGTATAGATCCCACTACGAAGTAGCTGGCATTGTTCCTCTATCGGAAATGGATGCCAGGAGTAAGAAGACTCCTTTATTACTTACAAAATCACTGTGTTGTCATATTCTACCCCTCTCATTCGCATCTAGGTACTTCTCAAATGCAGCAAGATAAGACGTTGATACTTCTTTATCGTGGTGCGGCTTTAGCCTCTTCTCCCGACTAGAAGTTAGCATAGTTAACCATTCTCGAGAGTGATATTTAAGACTTAAAACATATATCAAGCATAGTTAAGAATCTCGATATTAGAACAAGAGGGACCCCGTTATATGACATACTTAAACCTCGATTCCTTAACCAAGGGAACTCGTACTAGTTGTACTTGACAACCTCATTTTTATGTATAGTGGAGCATAGATTCCTGCTAGTCCAAACATTGAACCAATTGACATGGGATATCGGATCTCGCTCCCATAAACCTAAGGATCTCGTTCCTTGTCTTGTTCATTGTACGAATGCCAATTCTAACCCCAAAAAGCTTCCACTATAGGGAGGTTCGGCAAATCCCGAACCGATCCCGCTCCCGTCTCCAACAACTATGCACCAGACATCCATAGAGACCATGACAAACCACAAATACTTATAAACAAAAAGAAAGGCATGACAAACAGCTACAATCACCTCTCAAGGGGCTGGCAAATAAATTCAAACCCCAAATGCAAAAGGAAATATGACCCTTAAGCTGCAAAGCAACACATGCAAATATTAACCAGTTCATATGCCATCAAAAAGTGTTTTTGTTCCTAATCACAATCACAAGGGCAAAAAATGAATTTGAAAAAGAAGAGTTAACGTTTCACAGGAGAAATCCTATACATAAAAGATCTAAAGATAGTTACCCTTAGGAAACCATCTGAAATAGTTGTACATGACAACAGCTGCAATAAGTGTTTTCCCAAGACCTGTCGGCAATGCAACTAGAGTGTTGGAAAATAGGGCAGTTCTAGCGATAGAAAGTTGGTAGTCCCGAAGAGGAACATTGACTGCAAAAGATGTAACCCTTGTCAGACGGGCCACCAGATTATGCAAGAAATAAAACAAAAAAACAGACAATTAAACTTTTCAGAGATGCCTAGCTTACAATATAAAGAAAATAATCATAACAAATCCCCAAAAAAAAATGAAAATTGGAGTAAGATAATTGAAACTCCAATAATAAATAATAGAAATAAGAAATGGGTAATACTAAAAACTATTGGCAATAATGTAGAAGCCAATCTAGAGAAGATCCACACGGATAATAACAGATAACCATAAGAGAACCACAACCTGGATAAATCCAAGTTTTAGCTGCCTCTGGGTCAATGGCACCAGATACAAAAAATTTCTCCATAGTATCCTCTACTTCATGACTGGAAGCCACATTTGTGCAAAAGGATTCAGAATTTCCAAGCACATTTCCATTATTCTGAACAAATCTATCAAGAGTGGACTGAAGGCCACCAACACCATTATTTGGCTCATGATATTTCCTATAAGAACATGGTACAGAGCTCGGCTTTGCCATCTTATCAATGGAAATTTGGTGATCAGAATCTTCTGTATTTGAAGCCAAGGCGACTCTCTCACACGCATCATCAATTTCTTTAACAGCAGCCTCCCAATCAAACTCCTGCAGCTATTAGCAAATATTAGAGTACACAAGGAAATGAAGAAGTGGTTCTAAGAACGATAGTCTTTGGCATCTATTTAGGCAGCAGGACATGATAAATTGATCGACCACTAAAAAAAAACTTTGACAAGTTTCTCTGTGTAAAATTACAAAACATTCATAGTGCAAAAGGAGAAATTTAATTAAATAGGAATATTTAGTGAACACTAAATAATAAAATCATGATTTATTTTTTTGTTTTCTTTTATCTTTATTTTTATACTACAGGTTTTGTACATAAAACTAACATCGACCACTATTCTGGAATATGGTAGAGAAAAAATAGGATTGGTGGAAGGAATTCCATCGAAGGATTATAATATTATGGTCAGGATGCTCAGTCTTTAGCACAAACAAACATCAGCAGGCCCAACCTCAGTTCAGCAGAAAAAGCACAGAAGTACACAAAGGAATGATAATGAAAGAGGAAACCAAGGTATAATGTCACAAAAATAGATTGCATATCTGAACCAAAGAAAAAGTACGTACAATCAAATCCCATAAAGAAAAATGAAAAAGCAGGAAAACTACTATAAGAGAAACCAATGTTGAAGATATAAGGTGCTCTTCTGCACACAGTTGCGAGGAAGACTGTCATACTCATTTGGGTTTCTACACACTGTCATACAAGCTTTATGGGCTCTCATATAAGCAGTCTTTAGAAAACCAGCTCAGGGCACCAAACCAGTACCCCACCGGTTCCAAGCTGACTACACTGACTCATCAAGCCAGTGAAATTATTAGAAGAAATCCAAAAAAACCCACATTTTTTCCTTTCTTCCCCCTTTCTATCCCCACCCCAATTCGAAGCCACCCAATCGCCCAAAGGGCGAGTCAAAAGATTTGCCCAAAATAGCCCAAAATGGCAACCTAAAAAACATCTGCAAATCCGGTGCCCAAAAAACAGCCCAAAAATTGTGTATCAGTTAGAGCGCATCAAAACAAAAATTATGAAACAAATTTCAAAAACAAATGGATGAGAAACAAGGGAAAAATTGAACAAGCGGCAGATTGCGGTTTGAAGCCTTAAAATGGAGAGATTTTTATCAACCCCCCGCCCACAAAAAAAAAATACGTTTTTTATCCCAAAAAACTCTTTGCGGATCTGAAAGGGAGCTAGGAGAAGATCCATTTGTAAAAAACTGAATAAAAAACCAGTTGAATTATGCGATCCACATTTGGGGTACTTGTTGTGGTTTCCTCTCAGTTGTTGAGCCGACTCAGATGGTTCCAAGCTGGTTCGATGATTTCTTGAACAGTGCATTTAAGCATTATACGCTATAAAATAACACACAAATACTATTAGTCTTCTCCACAGATGCATAGACACAATAGATAATAAAACACATCCCATAAGAAACCATACAACTTATGCAGAAAATATAATATATAAAAAATTGAAATGAATGTGGTTGGCCTCCTTAAGAGTTACGGAGGATGACATGTGATCTACAACCACCACTTTACATACCAAAAACAAATGGTGCAATGTTGTCGATTGCTTGGTAAATCAGCCAGGCGAAATGAGGGTAGATAAATCTACTCGCAGAATGAATTTCACTTTAATAAATGAGACCACCCACCCCCAACTCTTTGCCCCCAACTCTTTGGCCCCAACACTGGCTTCAGTACACTTAGTACATAGAAAAGAGGATATGAGGCAATTCATCAAGCAGTATTATCAAGTATCAACATAGAGTTGCATATGGGAGGAGATATGGGTAACCCAAACTTCAAGCATCATAATCAAACAATGTCAACATCCTAATTTTAGAGGATGGAACAAACATGGCATCCAAAGTTGGAAGGGAAGAGATACACAATAGTCGAGTAGAAGCAAATGAATACATGGGGCAAAAAGGAGTAAGGATAATAGGGAAAATGGAGAGTACGGAAAAAGAAGACAACACAAGAAAGCTAGACTGAACTGGATCATGCAAATTGAAATATGTTTGAGAAACTACACATGTATGGATATTTGAAAATGCTCACGACATGTTGGAGTTTGTGGCCCTTGAATGCCTATCCACTAGGTTCTTTCATTAAAGCTTTGTTTTATGTTCCCCAAGAGCATGTCCTCATGCTTTTATGTTCTATGGATTACTCTCAATTTGAGTGGGAGTGTTGCCAGTTGGGTACCAAGAGCAAGGGATGAGTTGGACACTATCTGAGACATAGTGGATTCCATCAATCTCACCTTTGCGTGAAACACAGCCTTGGCTAAGAGAGTGAACCGCACCCTTGGGAGTTCAAGGTTGGTCCTATAATGTGCATTTGCTGAAGAGGGTCCAAGTGTCCCCTGTTGAGGTCAGCATGGCCAAGGTGGTACGTATTATTTGTGGATAGGAGATGAAAGAGGCTTCTATGGTGTAGAACGTATAGGGTCTTGTGAGAAGCAGTGCCTGAAAACCTCAACAATGGAATCCTACACAAGACAAGTGCTGCTAGTTCCCTTGGATTTGTGTGATACTGAAGTTTTTTTGGCCGGTGTGACCAGTTTTGTTGGATCAATGTGACCATTAGCATGCATGTGATGAGAGAGCCTCCCATAAAAGCAGAATACCTTGGAACTCTTGTACAAGTATTCCTAGTCTGTGCAGTGGAAGGGTGCACCTGGAATTTATGACTAATTGCAGATTATGGCATGCATTGCCAGCTTGATAGGAGAATCATGAGCCCCTTGCATGGGAGACTTGTGTGTCATGGGCCTGTTGTGTTGGTTTAGGGCTTAAATGAGGTCATAGAGTAGTCATGGAGTGCCCAGTAGAGGATTTGGTTTCAATACCAGAGCACTCTTCTAAGGTTTTTAAAGAGTTTTTTCATGGGGTTTTTCAAGAAGATAAGTTAGTCTTATTTTCTCTACTTAGCAACTTGTCTTTTTATGTTATTATTTGTGTATTTCATAGGAAATTTATTTGAAATAAATATTTCTATAATAAGAATCTTTTGATTTTAAAATTTGTTGTAAAGGTCAGTCTATTTAGCATAATTAGTGGCCCGCATGGGCCCATTGTGGGACACATGAAGTGTCTATATGGGCCCACAAATGGTTAATTTTTTACCCTCTTGAACCCAGTGGCCATAGGGTGCGACGTTGAGGTCAAATGGTCAGAGTGATCAAGCATGGGGCCCACTAATTCTTCATTTCTTCTAGATGGGCGTGGAGCCCATGTGGATGTGCTATTCGAATTTGAAATCCAAAATCAAATCCAAGTGGTTAGGTCATTAATATTTGGTTTGACAAATCAAACATAAGTGGTTAGAGTTGGATCCTAAGTGGGGAACATTTCCTAGTTAGAAGTTGGTTGTGAGAATCTAACTAACATATTTTGTCAAACATAGGTGGTTAGAGTTGGATCTTAAGTGGGGACCATGTCCTAGTTAGAAAATGGTTATGAGAATCTAACTAAGATATAGAATCCATATAAGACCTAATCGCATATCATCTAGAGTAGAAGAGCGGTGGGACTACAACTCCTCCTAGAGAGCAGGGTGAAATATCCACCCTTGATTCATGGTGGTTAGGCAAGGACAGAAGGCTAAGAACAGGCCTCTCACAATATCATTCTCCTAAATATAATAGAAGACTAATTCACCTATTATCTTCTCTACCCCCATGAACCTTTATATAAAGGGTAGCCCACTCTTTTCTGCACCACATCCATCTTCCAAATAGAGAGAGATTCATGTGGATGAGAGAGAGGTCTGCAAGAGAGAACGTGCCTAGAATTTATGGTTTTGGGTTGAGAGTTTCTAGAGAAGAGATGGAGGTGGTACATGATACCTAACGGGTTTTTGGTGTGTTACCTAAAGGGAATTAGTCTACTATAGAGATGTGTCGTTGATGCGGGAGTGTTGATGGGGTGCGGCAAGTCCTAGAAGGTGCTTGTCCGGTTTTTGGTTTTCTGCAAAATTCAACTATTCTGGAGGGCCTGGTTTGGAACATGTTACAGGTTGCCCCAAGGCAAGTTATATTTATCTTATTTCTTTTTAATCTAGCTTCTTACAGCAAAATCTCGAAGGAATCATGTGTAAGGCATGAGAGATATTGGGGTTTTAGTCACTATTCAAAAACTCAACCCAAGCTTAGGACTCGGGCCCTGCCGAATCCGAGTAACTCGGGCTCGCTCTCGCGCGCATAGTGTACAGAGCCAAAAAATGCCTCAAAAATAAACAAATAGAAAAACTGTTAAAGATAAAAAAAATACTAAAGTAAAAACTGAATTGAAAGATCAAATAAGATGGAAAAAAATATAAATGATGGATTTATAAAATTGATTTATAGCTGAAGAAATTTCAGAAAAATCCAAAAGACAGGACAAAAATATAAAAATAAGGTCATATGATAATAAAAAAACTCACAAATCATCAGAAAAAAAAATCAAAATTAAATTTAAAA